CACATTAAGTACATTATCAACTTTTCGTCGCGGTGGAAAATATAACATTTAAATTATAGCATTTAAAGTTCGCTATAATTTTCCCATCTTATCTATAAAGCAAAACCGCTTACGAGGTTAACGAAAGGAGCAGCACAAGCCGCCACGGAGGTAGCAGGTTTAATAAAGGAAAACAGCATCTCTGCACGTACGTCACGTTTATTGGTACCTATCCTTGCCGTCACTATGACGTGTAACTTTCAAATGCCAGGTCTTTGGATTGCGTAAATATACGACGATGAATTCAGTTTTTTCGCCTTTCTGAGCGTGCCCGTGGTCCCTAATAATTTTACTCTAGGAAAATTAGCGAACATTTAACAAACTGAACCCGCTGGAATATTCGTAGAGAAGCCTGATAGAAGGAAATTAGTGTAGGGCTGTCGTTCTTGCTGCCGTCACCCTCGCGCGTGTTGCTTCAGCTCCTTGTTGAAATGTCTTTCGTCTCTCTCCTGTCCCTCGCTTCGCGAGGGCTACATGACATTTTTTGAAGCCTATGTTGCAATGTAAACTTAATGATTTTGTACGGCTTCCGTTACACTTTAGCTCCTACTTAAGTCTCTCTTGACTTGGTTATCTGTCAAAACCTGCCAGATTGTTTGGAGTTGTTCTGAAACTAGTCTGCCCAGCAGTGGAGCATCAAGGGTCCTTCGTGGTAATTACAGACGGTCGTGTCTCGAACTCAAATGACCTCAACGAAATGGTGTTACTATATCTGCGGAGGAGACTAAAAAGTATCATTGTGGACGGTAAAAAACATTGACTGGGACCGTGTACTCTGTTCCATATCTCTTATGGGCGTGGCAAATTATTTAACTGTGATTTGAACCTTTTAACATGATTTTATATTTCAGATCAAAATAAGAATGCCTGAAGACCAATCCAGTACGCTGTCATTTTCTGATAAGGTTTGTGAGAGCGTCAGTTCGAGAACGAGGAAGAGATTTTTTCTTGTATTCTTAAAAAATTGAGATCCCGGAAAGCTTCATTTTGCTTTTTTAATTAGAAAAATAAACACGGTTATTTTATTGACGGAGGTTAAGCCCTCCTCCGATCGCAAAATGATAAGACTTCTATCATTTGATAACTGGCGTAACCTGTAGTAGAATGACGGCGGCTATCACGTTTTCCCGCCAAAACAACGCTGGTTTACGCGCGCCCACTATCCAATGTTGAGAAAATCTGTACTCGTACTTGTCCTCTTCTTAGAATCTAAAGGTCCATATTACGACAGTGACCCCAGGAAAAACAATACAAACGAAAGGCTTAGTGAGCGAAAAGAATGTCTTAGTGTACACGTTTTACAACAAACTTCAAGGTCTGTATTCCCGTTCGCGACATAACTATCTGTATCTGATAGCAAAGCTTTTCACCTCCGTGACACTGAATTCGGTCACATGTAAATTAAGCAAAACTTAAAGGGGAAAACTGATGGTTTAAAAGTGTGGCATTTTTGCCGTGTCTTCTGATGCCACGAGTGAATATGGAGTTGGTTTCCTGAATCTGTTCTTAGAGTGTGATTGATTTGACTATCCATGTCTGCTTTCTGCCTGTAGATCGATGCACCCTCTCAGTCCTGTAACTCATGTTTTTTTCTGTGATTCAGGTTCAAGAGTCACTGATTGCCTGCGCGAAACAGCAGAGTCAACAGCTCAAATTTTGTCGAGAATTAGCTTCTGCAGTAGCACAGAAGGCGTCTAGTTTAGCTGGTAAGAACTATCAGCAAACTCCTGTTTCTACACAATAGCATCCCCTCCTGTTGTTCTTAACTGTTCTTCTGCACATGCAGCTGAAATGTTATGTATCGGCGTCGCTTCCGGTAAAATCACCCAATCACAGGTAAAACCAAAACAACCCGTGACTTGCTTGCACGCGTTTTCGCGCGCTAATCGCCCTCTGCCATTCCTTGTCACTTATTGGTTTTTCTTCGTTGTGACTGGCTACTGGCCATTGTCAGGTGAGCGTGAGTCTGGGTCCGTGTTTTGTCGAATCGCACTGTGGGACTATTTTGTCGAACGACCTTTCCTATGCAACTTCCTATCTGCCAATGAAAGAAGCGTTACCGTCCGCATAAAAGCCCCATAATGCAATTCGAAAAACCATTGACCCAACCTCACGCAAACTGACCCCAAAATGGCCAATTAAAAGTGATCGCTTTGGTTTTAAAGCCTGACTAACCCATGAGGCATTGTCGTGAACTCGAATGTTTCCGTGGAAAGCGGCCCAGCAACATGTTACGGACGCAGATTTGCTTTTGAGCCAAATGTTTTAGGGTTAAACTACTTCAGAACTACAAACGTCTCCGCCACAGCTTTCCTTAGCTCAGGCGGTATTTTAGTTTCAGGACTCACAGTTTAATACTAATCTATCAATACCACAAGAGTAAATCATGATGTATCGAAGGGAGCGTTTGGTGATTGCTAGACTTTTTAGATACCTTGTTTTTTACTTTACAGAAAGTGAACATTTGCTAAGTGGCCAGCTAGATAAGTTAGCAACCGATATAGCGGTACTTGTGTTTGAAACAGATGAAATCCCCTGTAGAGATATTGTCAGGTTAGTTGAACTATTATCTTAAACTTCATTAATACCAGCAGGTTTTTCTTATCAGAATTTCCTTGGTAAGTAAGAAAAGCAGATATTTTTCTTGTACAGGATAAACCTAACAAGTCTTCCCATCTTGGTTCTAAACGAGCAAGACTTGCACATAGTAGTAGTCTTTTTTGTTTTTCGTGTCTGTCTGTCTCAGTATCTCTGTGTGTTTGTCTGTCTTTCTGTGTGTCTGTGTGTGTCCGTCGTTTTGTTTAATATCCAGCTTTATTGTAATTAAGAGAACGACGTTATTTGAATGTCAATGTATTTCGCACGAAAGAAGTAATTAACGACTCTATTGTTTTTACTTCTCCTACTGGAGACGGGACCGCCATTTACGAGGTCATTTGAGCCACACGTAGGTCTAGCCGTATGCAAAGCAAAGACAGTACCTTCATTTCTAGGAGTATTTGTCCTGTCCCGGGAATCGAACCCGTGACCTCCCGCTCAAGTGCTCTTTCGACTGAGCTTTTCCTGCTGTGGAAATTTAAGTTAATCCTCAACATTTTTGGATTTATTTCTGTTCCAGTCAAACGTTCCATGAAATTATCTCGTTCCTGTACTCATTTGTAACCAAAATGCAGGAGGGTGATTATGATGCGGAGCTACCTAAGGAGGAGTCCAAGGTATGCCGGCATGACTTCGTGTTCTTTGCTATTGCCTTTTGTTTGTTTGTTTTTAATCTTTTTTTTCTTCTTTTTTTCTTATTTTTGTAACGATATTTACTGAAATTAATGTTCCATTCCCCACCCCCCCGAAAAAAAAAACAAGAAAAGTAGTAATAATAATAATACCAATAATAATAATATGATAATAATAGTAATTTTTTAAAATAAATAATAATAATAATAATTTTATTCAACTTTAAAAATATGTACATAATTTACAGATATATTTGAAGTAAGAATTAAACACTATATAACATTAAGAATTATATAAATCATAGAAAACACAATCACTGTGTTAATAACGATTTCTCAAATACATTCCTTGCGGCTCAGATGCGATCAATAACTCTTGCAGGCGGTCAATAATAATAATAATCAGGGTGATTTTTGTTCACACATCTGTTTAGAGAGGGTACTTGTCTTTCTTTGGAACTATTCAAAGTTTACCTATCAAACGCAGCAATGCTGCACGTTTTACCACAGAGTAATGTTGTCTGTTGCCGAAGCGTTTACTAGGCCTCATTATTGCGCGCGGCCGATGCATTTCGGGTCACGTGGTCCGAGCGAGTGTTTTAGCGTCCGTCTCGGATACGTCACCGAAATGCATTGACGGAGAAAGCCTGGGAAGACGCCGTACAAGGACTAGGCAAATGGTCACCCAATATGACTCTGATCTCTTTTCCTTCAGGTGGAACCGCCACATCTTCAACGTGCAAAAGCCTTTAAGTCTGAGTTGTTTGATTCAGCTGGTGTGGAAGAAAAACTATTACAGAAAGAGAACGAGTTCATGGATCTCAAGAAAAATATGAAATTGAAGGTATTATGGACTTAGAGGTAGAAATAATCAGAACCTTTTTCATCTGGGGAATTTCTTTTGCGACACGCTTATTAAAATGAGACAGATGTGAGTGTTTCCAATTCATGGTACAGAGAGTTGACTGATATAAGCTTTACAAACGTCTCTTCTTACTTCCTTATATTTTCAGTTCAATCCTTTGATCTATGGATACGGACCACGCGTGAAATGAACTTTTTTGCTTCCACTTTCCTTGTTTCCTTTCTATGTTTAAGACAAGTGTTTACTAAGTACTCAGCTGTGTTGTAATTTCTCTTTTGTATTGCCTCTTCTGTCCTCTTCTCTCGTTAATAGAATGAAGAGCTCAGTCAGGCTAACATAAGAATTGGATTATTAGAGAAGCGCTTGGAGAATATAAACAAAGAGGTAAGGCCACTCTATTTATGAATCTACCGTCTGTGCAGAAAAAAACAGTGCCTTGACACGATTAGTTATTGTTTCTCGATCCCACTAGTATGTGCTTGAACGTTTACCCTAACTAAAAGAGGGTTTCTAACCAAAAGTAGTCAAACTAAACTAACAATTATTTTAAGGTGGAGTTTGAAGATCGTTTGGGGAAGCCCCGAGCAATAGTTCGTCTCCTTTGGTCCCCACCCCATCCCGCCAGCTCAAATCCAAAAATCACTTGTCACGTACTTTCGTGATGCCAAAGGTGTACGTCTGTGATTTTTTTTGCGTTTGTGTAGTGCGTCCTTTCGCGACAGATAATTTTCCCCTGTGCTTCCTTGTTTGCCTCCTTCGTTGTTTGACTGTTTCTTCAAGGTTTAATCAGGCATAACTTTCCTCGAACCATCACAATGCCAAAAGGGTCTGTCTTTATTGAGACTGTTTTGCGTTTTTGTGAGGCGTCTATTCGCGATAGGTTAATTTCTTTTGATTGTTTGCGTCTTTGTCCTTTCGGACTGTTTCTGGGTTTATCAATCATGGGCAATTATATCTCGATTAGTCTTATCTTCGTCTTTTTAAAAAAAAAAAAAATTCAGCATGAGATCGTTAGTCGCCATTTGAATAAATAATTTTTCTTGTTAATTGTTGGGCAAAGCCAAGACGTAAGAATAACTTGATTTAGGTGATCGAAAACATTTCAGCATTTGACGGGACGGTAATGGCGTTTCATGTGTGTTAACTGGTGGTTTGTAATTATTCCTTGAAGGCGGACGCTAGGGTGGAGGCAGCAAATCGTAAAATGGAACAAGCCACCGGAGATCTGCACAAAAAGGAACGGTAAGCTTCGAACTTCAGTCATCCTTTTCTCCTCAAAGGGCCAAGGTTTTTCTATTCCTTTGTGTAATTTCGTAAGTTCGATTATCTTAGCAGAATTAGACACCGTCAAGTTTTCTTGCTTCCTTTAGTTTGTCCATGAAAACAATGCTTAAATTTAGTTGGGCACTATAAAAGTTCCTGCGCAACCATTTCCCTTCAATTTCTCTGGGAGGAGCAAAAAGTGTCAATACCTCTTTTGTGTTTTGTTTATTTAGTGAATTTGAAGATACTATGGATGCTCTTCAGCTGGATATTGACAATCTGGAACGCGAGAAAGTGGATATGAAGAAACGTTTAGATGCGTATTCAAAGAAGTCTCTCCTAGCCGACTTAGCACGCCATGCTTCATCGTCGTCCAGTATTGCAGCTGTTGTGGCAGGTATGTAATGCGATGGCCTTCATCTTCACCGCCACCATTAACACCCTCGTCATCATCAGCATCACCAGCGGCATCATTGTTACCATTATCACAACCACCAAGATCATCACCATCAACACCATCAACTGCTTCATATTAAAATGCCATCATCATCATCAGCAGTAACAACAGCAGCAGCATGACCAGCATTATCATCGTCATCACCATAATATCATCGAAATCATCATCATCAAAAATAAAACACAAACAGCGGTGATAAACATTGTGAACGTTCGCATTTTTATATAAACTTGACGTTTCGTATGCTATATAGTTTATGAAGTGCCGCTGACCACCCCACCAAGAATACGACTGCGGGCTCCCGTATGGCTCCTCCGCAATAAGCAAGGCGTTACTGTTTTGCCCACCAGGTACTTTAATGTTATATATAAAAAAGTATCATGCAATTGATGTAAGTTTTGTTCCTTGTTTATTCTATCCCATCAGGCGCTGCGGCAGTGAAGGCAGGCGGTGGCTCTCCCCTGAGGGGTGGTGCGGGGGCAGGTCAACAGCCTGTTCAAGTGGTCATCAAGGACTCACCTATCATACTGGCACAGGTATCCGTACTCTTAAATTTTGACTCAACAAGTTTAATTTCAACTAAATTCGATTACACATTGTAGACGGTAATTAAGATTCCAGTCCCCAGTATCTGAGGAAAAACACCGTGTGATTCGCATTAGAGGAATGTTCGTCGATGATTTTAGTCATCAATACGTACCCGCGTGTCCGCTGAATTGTAACACGCACGACACCATACTGTGGGCGTACGTTGTAAGGCTCAAAGGCATGATCACGTGAGAAGACATCGCGTGAACAACAGCAAACACTGCTGGACATGTACTTCCATAACGCCGAAACATTTCCGTTAATAATCAACGAAATTTTGTTCCAAGTCTTCTTAATCATTTTCTTGAAAAACGTTTTTCATTGCCTAATAAGATTTAACACTTGTGAAATTTTACGTTGAGATTCAAATATGACAAAAAACGTCATGTAGTGAGGAAAAACAAATGGCATAAAATGAACATTTTAATGTTTTTTGTCATGTCCCGATTACTGTTACTTGAGCTTCTTTTACCTTTTTAGGTGGATTCGCTCAAGATTGCTTTGAAGCATCTAAGAAATGAAAACATCAGGCTCAAAAGCCAGCAATTGAAGGTGCGAGGACGTTTTACATGGTCTAAATTACGTTGGTATTCAGTCAGTCAGTCATTTAGGGAGTTTGTGTGTGTGTGTTTTATTTTTTTATTATTATTATTTTTTTTTTTTTTCATTCAGCCTTCCGGTTTATCAGCTAGTTATTTTCATACTCTTTTTGTCAGTGGTCAGTTCTTACGTATGTCAGAGATTCAGTCAGCCAAGTAGCTAGTTTGTATGCCTATTCGTCAGTCAGTCAGTCCGTTTTTTAGCTTGTTATGCAGTCTTTTGCCAAATTAAAGAACTAATATCTTAGAAATGTGGAATACTTCATAGAAAGTGCATACGTGCGATATTTACGCACGAATTGGTGATGTGTGAGGGCAGCGAATGAGTGAAATTTCTGTACAAAACACTTTCCATGTGGCATTGTGTTGCTTATATTCGTACTGTGAAATTTGAACTTAATATCTGCATTCACGCATTTATTTTCAAATAATCAAGTCATCAATCGATATGGCCTGGTTTGACTGTAAGTAGCTTTATCAGGGGGCAAGGACTTCTCGACTTTACGCATTGACTTTTTCAAATAATCAATTCACTAATAGACACAATAATTTGACCTGCTTTTTGACTGTAAACCTAATTTGATTTGCGGTTTCAAACGAAAGACAGGTCATAGGCTGGCTACGCCCCTGCCGATGAATATATAAAATACCTCGCTTCTTTTTTGTTCTGTGCTTATATGGACATTTGTCATTCCGTCCTTTTCTTTACGTAGCAACAACTGGAAGATTTGCCCAAAATATACGTGCCACCAAGAATCCAGTCTTCCACTGAACCTGAACAGAAATCTGAAGAAAAAGCCAGTGAGGAAAAACCCGAAAAAGAAGCTGGTCCAAGCCTGAATTCCATCACAAGAGAAACTAACAAACTGATGGAGGTATTTAAATAACATGACTTTGCCACAAGTTATGTTTTATCCATTCTATCTCTGGCGTTTTTTTTTCTTTCTCTCTGTGTGACCTGGTGCTTTATATCTGATGAACGAGGACGAGTTCAAGCGCAAAGAAATTATTTGTGATAGGCTCTGTCACGATGTCAAGTTAACACAATTTTAGTGAAGTTTGAAGAAACAACAAAACATTAATTTAAGGTGTCTAACCTCATTTTCAGACTCAGATAAGGGAATTCAAAGAAGTTGGCAAAAGAAGTGTTTCACTAATTAACGTGTTATCCGCTTTTTTCCTTGTCAGAACCTGCAAAAGATGAGCGCTTTTCCTAAAGTGGTGGATATTTCTAAAAGAAAACCTGGTAAGATGATTGATCGCTAAAGATGAAAAGAGCAATATTTTTTGTTTATTTTCTACTCCATCCTAACCATAGTTTGATTATCAATAGGGTCAGTTCCTGCGCTCAATAAACTGACACCTGCCAATCATTTGGTAGAACGAGCTGCTATGTTAAGAGATCTCAAACGACAGAAGGAAGAGGTAGGCTTTACAATTATTTGAATCGTTAACACTTCAGTAACCTTGTGCAGCAAAATAAACAGTGCCCCGGCGCAAAACCTTTAATCTGCCCGGTGCACTTCAGAAACTGAATCACAGCCTCAACAGTTAGAGACTTTCTCAGAGTTTATTTATTTTATTTATTGATTGTTTGATTGATGGATTGATTTTTTTGTTGCGCTTTCGGGACTTCGTCGCTCGCTCTTTTGCTGCTTGACCTAATTAAAACCCGCTTCGCTAGTCTCTCTTCTCTCTAGTCTCCATCGAGCACTGGGGGATTTGAACCAAATCTACACCTATTACTTCAAAATAAATAGTATAAAAGAAAGTGTTGATTTTTATTAGTAGATTTCATTAGTGATTTGCGTCTTCCAAAAACGCAATGATTAGAATCATATACTTTACGAAGGGAAAAACTGATTACTGAGTCAGAATAGAGTGATCGTTGAGAATTCACTCTATCTTGTTTTACTGATTTTTAATGTTTCTCAACTCTTTCCAGCTTCAAGGCAAAATCCAAAAATTAATAGCAGCCGAATATCCTGGAGGAATATCTCAGAGTTCCTTCTCGTCGTTCTTGTCTCCAGATTTTTCCAAGGTATTGTTAGCTGACGTAAATCTTCTATCAAGTGCTCCGCAGGGTTTATTTATTTCAAACACGTTTGAGGGGGTAGGGGAAGCTTTATAGAGACGGGTAGCTTATTTGAGAGTGGGGGGCTTATTTAGTCCCCATTTACACGCGCTTAAAAAATCGGCATGGCACGCCAAATTTTTGGCACTGTGCTGACGATTTTACATGTAAGGCACGGCACTCCCAATTTTCCACGTGTAAACGTGTCGGTCCCAAATGTAATGTGGCACCAGTGCTCAAAATTTTAGGGGTGCCGAGACTACCTCCCGGGGGTAGTCTCGGCACGTGTAAACGAGGCACGGTGCCAAAAATTTGGCGTGCTGTGCCGATTTTTTTAGCGCGTGTAAATGGGGTTTTAATCTAGCGAAATGGGGCGCCATACTACCTTTTCAAACAACCAGAGGATGGTAAAACGCAAAGTGGAAAAGCTCAAGCACATGAAGTCAGAGGTCATGAAGCCGATGATCAATAGCAACTCCAAATTTCCAGCACATTAATTAACAATATCGGATCAGTCCACATAAAGTGTTACAGCTATCAATACAGTCTATCATTTGTTCATTTGGTTGTGAATGATGAGGTGGGGTGAGCTTAGTAACTTTCTTCCCCCGAAAAGAGGGGTTTATTTGAGAGAGGGGACTTCATAGTGAATTTACAGTATTTTGAATGAATTTCCGATCCGATCCGGGTCATTTGCTTGCAGTTCAATAAAGTTGTAAGGAGTGTCACATTATGGTCTATCAGACTATCATGCATAGACGGCTATGAAAGCACTTTAACTATAGGCTGCCTAGAACGCATGAAGATGCTTTTGTTTTTCTTTTGTTCGCAAAAGCTCAGATATGCGCATATTTCGCCGCGAAAAATTTAGGCCCCGTCCACACCATCCCTGATATTTTCGGGTCGTCCCCGGTGTAATATAATTTATTCGTTTTCTTTTTTTTATTGATTATTGTCAGGGTTAAGTTTATTTTTGAGGATGTTCTTTTTCCTTTGTTTTACGTCAGCTGTGAGTAATAAATTGGATTACACCGCAGATGAGCCATATTTTCAAACGAATGCGCCTTCCATACACAAAAAATCAACAGTGATTAGTGTTCGTAGCAGTCATAAGAAAATGAGGCATGAACGCAATGCCTGCTCAGTTTAAAATTCGCGGCTATTCAAAGCGCTTTTGCATTCAGTTTTGTCGCTTTGCTGATTATGATGTCCACGCATTCTGAGCTATCGGGCAGGGCAAAATAAAACACTTCTGGCTCTTCTGTTAGAGCCGGTAAAATTGTCTACCTAGTTCGTATTAACATTTTAAACGATGAGCTTCCACTACAGTCATCAAAATAAATTGTTCAAACATTTTCTCTGTGATCTTCTAGGTGCTCCAAGAGAAGGCACAGGCACCCCAGCTTGGGAGAGTTACCATTCCTGTACCATCACGTACAAAGTCAAATAAGTATTGCGTAACATTGAAACCTCAAGAGTTCCGAACACTTCATACGGTTTTTGTCAGCTAGAAATCGGGAACGTACACTTATTTTATCAAGATGAATATGTTATTTAAAGAGGGGTATATGACAAACTGCAGCAATTTGCGTCAGTGGCACAATTTTATCGCTGTTATAAATAGCGTGGATGCCAAGCTTGGCTCATTTTAGCCCGTGCACGTAGTAAAGAAGTCGTATTTAAAATAGTGCAGATAGGTCTAAACAGTTTGAAGAGGTTAGGATAAAAAAAGTCTAAATAGATTCAGAGATAAAGAAAAATCCGTGTTATTATAGAATCTTTAGCCTGAAAAAACAGCCAACATCTCGCGACGTCACCACTAGTCTCCCCGCGATATCTGGGTAGTGTGTCTGATTGGTGGAAGCAAATTTTCGGAATACATTTTTCTCGCCACACGACCAATCAGAAGCACGACGGAGTCATCAATGTGGAATTTCTGTGTTTGTTTCTCACATCATTTCGAGGGGAAACCAGCGGCTGTCTTCTCAGGCCATAGAATTTCGAATGCGACTTTCTGTTGCTCGTAATGATCACCTGGATTGTGGTTTCCAGCACAGCTGTAGTTGTGTCGTCACTCAACCCTTCTCCTCCCCTCGTTCCCTGCGATACAAAGAACGGTTGCTTGGGAGACAAGTGGCTTTGCCGGAGGAAGTGTGCTTGAAAAAACACTTTTTCTGTCGCTGAATACAAATCTGATGTAACAAGTCTGTTAAACTGAATGGTGTACTATATGAAAAAGAAAAAAATTAAAGAACGTTATGAAGTCTTGCCAATAAATATCAATAAACAACGCCGACAAACCCTGCTTCTTTATGTGTAGTCGTTCGAAGCTTCTTTCTCTTTCTTTCTTTCTTCTCATGTCTATCTCTTCCTTCTCTCAAGTTTTCGTTATTGGCTTGACTTTCGTCTACGGGATCTCAAGAATAAGTCTCGTGACTTTCTGTTTGTAGCGAGCTAGTATAAACTTAATTGCAAACGCAACACAACAAAAGTCGACAAAGGTAGAGGAAACCAGCGTCGTAGCGTAATTCAACAGACCGTTTTCCCTATGATGTGACGAAGGCCATGTTGGTATACTATACAGTAGAAGACAATACAATAGTACAAAGCCAATCCTGTGGGAGTTGAACTGTTTTTCGTATCAAAACACTTTTTTTGAACAAATGAATATGCATAGTTGTTCAAAACGCTGGATAACGCTATCCAGCGGATAAGTATTAGGGAAACCTATTGCGTATTCCCTGGACAGCGAATTATCCAACGGATAGCGCTATCCAACTTTTGAACAATTGGGGCCTGATTGAAAACGCTCTGTTCAGTTGTCGCCGAGTAAGCGTCAACTTCTTGTCAGTCAGTGCACAGATAGAAAAATCACCAAATACCACATGTGCGAGAGGCGAACACGTGCACCAAACAACGAAAAACGACTTTGACCACAGACACCAGTCTCAGAGTGTGTCAGTTGATGCTTGGGGGTTGTGTATGGTGTCTTTTTGCGGCGTTGTTCAAACGAGGGTAGGGAAGGGTGACAAAAGGAGTAAGGGTAACAGCTATCTCGTTTCTGTATGTTCTCTTCTCCAGCCGCAATTCAGCAAAAAGCTTACGCAACACCTCGTAATTGTAAATGAGACCCTTTCGCCTGGTGCTTTATCATTCCTAATATTTAAGGCTAAAAACAAAGCTCTTTTTAATATATGTAGTTTTCTCAAACAAAAGATAAAATCGTGTAATGCTAAGTGGCGACGGCAACGAAAACAGCCCTAAAAAGTAGTGAAAAACAACTTTGCACGTGCAGCACACTTTTTGTGCATGGAAATTTTACCCCGGACTCTCGACATTTTACCTTCGACCCTCCACAAAAACCTTCACTCTTTTTTCGCCGTTGTTTTGCACGACTACAATGTTAAACTTCCAGAAACCTCCTAGTTACACGTTTTATGGAGGAAATGTTGTTTGTGTTCCTGTTCACGTGTTTCTGTTTTTTTGTTGTTTTTTTTTACACTGCCGCTCATTTTCACCTTGGTGGCCGCTATCATCTCTCTTTTTTTTTCACCGCCGCTATAAACTTTTCATGATTTTCTTCTAACGAAATTGGTCTCCTTTGTTTTTTATATCTCTCGCTCTAGCTCTTTTTCTGTTATCCACATCAATGTAGACATGAAAATTATGTCGAAAGAAAGAATCAGCTTTGTTACACTAGAAAAACTCCATTGGCTGCCTCTAGGTAAACTTCCGCCACCTTGATAATCTTTCGCCAGGACAAACGCAATCTTCATGTCTTGGATTCCCCATCACCCTTGCAGAGTCTAGTTAGTACCACCCCAGAGTCTACTGGTAGTACCACCCCCAAAGAGTGTACGGACGTACGGTCACGTGACTACCAAATAGATAACCAAATTTTCTTAGCTATGGGGCTCCGCGCGCGCGTTTAGCTCCGCTATAAACTTGCTATGCGCAAGCGAAAAAAATAGCCTCATTAAACTTTTAACGTTTATTTCCTTTTAATATTATTCACCCCTATAAATAGAGTATGCGCCACGGTGCTTTTGAAACTTTCAACCCTTCTGCGCAAAAACTTCCTTTGGGAGAACATCATTGTGAATGAAGTAATCTTTCTTCCTGTTTCTTTATTTAGTCTTCATACTTAGAAAGTAAACAGTACGGTTAATTTTCCCCAAATGTCCCCGTCTAGATCAAAATACAAAATAAATGCCATAAATAACACCAATAACAATATCCGCGGGAAAAAGTAGACATAATCAAGAAAAAAAAACAAAAAGGGCCGCGTTGATGCAGAAAGGAAGCGGCGTTTCCTTAAGGGGAGCGAGGGATGTTTTTTGAGAACGACACTGAAAAGCATTCTTCTTCGTATCGCTGTATCATTCCTTTCCTTTTGGAGCTCTCGAACTTCTATCGAGTTTTGTTTTCGTTACCTAAGAATATTACCTTATTAGAAACATGAGATTATGTCAAAGTTTGATTTTATTCTCTCCGTTTTTCCCCACAGAACAACGGAAGACATCACGGAGAAATACCCGCGGGAACCGGAAATGCGATACAATTCTACTCTCACCTCCCCCGTCTGTAAGGAAATTTGTTCCACTTCCTTTCCACGTGTTTCCAAATATGGAAAAGAGTTGCACCATTTACTTGCATTGCCGGCGAGAGAAAAGCGCGGTTATTTCCTTCACCGAAAAAACTGCTTGATTTTCGCGGACCATTCAAATTGTATTCGAGGAATTAGCAGTGACTGACTTATATTTCTGTGCTGAATCCGTTTTCGAGATATTTGACTCAAGTATTTTTAACTGTAAGATCTTAGACTGTGAACCATGTCCGCCGACAACACGACCGAGGCAGCCGATAGAAATGTCGAAATATGGAAAATCAAGAAACTCATTAAAAGTTTAGAAGCTGCACGGGGGTAAGTACAGATGTAAAATAAACATAGTAATACCGATAGTCAACTTACTGGTCCTTAGAGAACGTAACGTTCTGTTCGTCGTACTTATAAGTGAAACGATCGAACAACGATCATCACACCAAGAAAGGGATACGTTTAAAATCGTCTTTTTTTCACGAAGCAGTAAGTTTATATAAGCGTAAATATGTGTTTGTGCTAATCTATATAGATAACTAAACCAGGAAACTATCATGATAGATTCTTGTGAGTACTAAATTTTCGCATATAAGAATTATAGAGAACTTGGGCAACAACTTTACGCTCAGCTGAAAATTAATTAAGCTTAAAAAATTTTCAAATTTTGGACTTGAGACTTAAAACAATTCTAAAATTAGCCTCGCAAAAAACAACAAAATTCATGCATACTGTAGCCTTGTTTTATGTCAAACTAGCGTTATCCTTAACTTATGTTGCTTTTACAAAAGTTGAAAATGAAATATTAGTCTTTTCTCGAAATTCTTACTAAAAGCCATTAAATCCGTAGGGAGTCCTGATTTTTTGTGGAATTCTCCTTTCGATTGGATGGGGCTGGCCAGAACTGGCTGTGTGTTTTAAAAGTAAAAGGGACTTTTTAGAGTTAGTTAGGAATTGACTGATTTGGTGGGAAAGTTATGATCAACACTGTAATTCTCTTTAAAACAGGACTGGTCTGGCCAACCAGTTTTGACAAATGGTAAGCACCCTTTGTTGCCTTATGCAATGGTACACCTTGAACAAGTTGTTTATTTTTAAGCAAGTTCACTCTTAAAGTAATGATGATGATGAAGATAAACCTGCTGCCTAACGGGTGCCCGGTCACCTGAGGCACCCACGATTTGCCCGTGGGTGACCAAAATTTCGAAAAAGGAGCCCTAACAGGGGCCTAATACTTATGATTCCAGGCCAACTTCTGGTGAACAAACACCCTGCTCATTTTACACCTGTGAAAGGAAAACGGAAAACATTTGGTCGTCAGCCTGTTGAATGATCAAGTTAAAATTCAATAAACGAAACAATCATTAATCTTATCGTCTCTTAATGATGTGAAATCCCTGTAATGTTTCCCTCGCTAAAGACCTCAAGCTCTTAATTATTGTTTAACATGCCTACAGAAATAGCGTGAAGCTTGTGTATACATTGACATTTTCAATACATTTACCTTTCTGTTCCACTTGTGCCTCAAAATGACAAAGTCTATGTTTGACTGTGAGTTATATCTGTAAAGAAGTCTAAATCAAGCCAAAACAGAAAGATATTGGAATCCTCGTGAAGACTTTGGAACGAAAACACGTGCCACTGATAAGCCGCCATGTTTGTTTTCAACAATTCACAGCGATCAAACGTGTGTACATGAACAATTCCCTCCAAACTGCCCTTAAATTTCACCCTTTATAATTCACCCTTTATGATTGTTATCTATCTAGTTTCCGGGCTCGCTATTTTGTTGCACAGCACTATTGTTATAATTTTTTCCTAAAAAAAGTCTTTCACGTTTTGATGTCAAAAAATGATATGATGATGTGTTGTAGAAATCAGTCCCCATACAAGAAGTACCTATCTGTTTATAACAGAACCACTGTAATGGTGTCTCATCGAACGAATCGTGTAACATTGTTTATACATTGTGTTGTTTGGAACTTTAGCAGGATTTTGCCTTTACATTTTCAAATCTTCACAACAAGTAGGACACAAAATTTGCAAATGTTCATTTCTTTATTAATTTCGGTGAAAACTGGTCACAAAGCTGCGACTGCTGAAGAAGTTTTAGTCGCAAAGGGAAAAAACTTAGTCGCAAATGCAACTGATACACTTGCACTGTCGAGCCCTGTATTGATAGGGTCATCATGGTGAACTAATAAATTAAAACTAGATATAGGTACCCTGGCTCCAGGGTTCTGTTCTCGAAATACAATGAGGTAAAAAACCTCTAGTACACGTCACACACATCACGTTTTTGCTTGTTTTTTGTAATTTCTCTCTAATCAAGGCCCCTGATTTTAGTGCATTTATATGTGATACTCAATCAATTCAGAAACAAATCATTGAGTACGAATAAGAATACTCAACCGTCAATAAAGCAGGAAGTGAGAAACTTTTATGGAGGAAATCCCATTTCATGTAGAATTAATCACGTCCTCATTTCTTATCTAATCTACAAGCAAGTGAGAATTAACACTTTTAAAAGTGTTCTTATGTGATTTATGGTCAAAGCAGCTAGTTTGTATGGCACAGTTAGTCAAGTAGGATCCCCTGACCTGAGTTTTATACTTGTGTTCTTGTTTATAGGAATGGAACAAGTATGATCTCTTTGATTATCCCGCCAAAAGATCAAATCTCCCGTGTAGCAAAGATGTTAGCAGACGAATTTGGTACTGCCTCAAATATTAAAAGCAGAGTGAACAGGTAACTTCCTTTCCCTTTTTTTTTCACTTTCAGCTTTCATTTTTTTTCATTCAATTATTTAAAAAAACTACTGTTTTTGTTTCGTTCATGTTCATGAGGTTTGAGAAAAAACAGTTGGGCTTCAATGGAGCAGTGTGCTACAGCTGTGTGTGAATGAAATGCTAGATGACTATGTGACTCTTTGTTACATCTGTAGCAGTATTGTTTGGAACTTTATGTAAAATTGTACTTTTGTCTTTCAGGTTGTCTGTTCTAAGTGCTATTACATCAGTACAGCAGCGACTGAAACTTTATTCAAAAGGTTTGTTCCTCTTATTTCTTTTTTTTTTTGAGTTTTTAAGCACATGGTTTCACTATTTTCAAATAGAAGGGATGAAGGAAACAACTGACTGTTGAAGTATTAGCCAGCTAGCGTAAGATGTTTTGCAGGTGGAAATTAGCCCAAAATACAAGTACAGTGCTGGCTAATTTCTGTGGTGGAAAAAAACAGCCCTTAAAACTAACTGCCACAAATATGAAAGTTTGTTTTAAGGTATCAATCTACACTGTCAGTATCATGTCAAAATTGACAAAGATGCAGAGGGAAATATGTTCCTTGATAAGCAGTTGGGGGTACAATGTAGCTCCCCATAAAGAAATACCCTACATCTGAGTATTTTGCGGATATTCAACACACAAGGAATTCTCAACTTACAGTACATCATTAGGAGTAACACTGAACATAAACCTTGCAGATGTCGTATTTGTTGCTTATTGTGTTTTGCTGTGTATTTATCATAACAGTTCCTACCAATGGCCTTGTGGTTTATTGTGGAACAATTGTAACAGATGACGGCAAAGAGAAGAAAGTGAACATAGACTTTGAGCCTTTCAAACCAATCAACACATCACTTTACTTGTGTGATAACAAGTTTCACACAGAGGTAATCTTTCACTGAGTGATAAGATGTGTAATAATCACCACAAAAGAACATGTTTGTGGACACTTCCTCATGAAAGGGACAGTGTTGCTTGTCAGAAATTAGAATTCAACCTCTAAAAAAGACTAATCTGGTGATTGCTCAGGCCTAATTGCGCCCAAAATAGAACATGAAGTTAAAGCTACAGAGGTTTAATTGCACTAAAGATGTTCACATCAAATGCTATTTTGAACTCAGTATAAGTGTGTTTGGTTCTATTTTCAAGACGTTTCTTTGCCCACAAACCTGTATGGTAAAAAATATTTCTTTTCTGTTGTAAACTTTCGAAGAGAGACTGAAATGTACCATTTGCATCTGAAAGCTAGACAACAAGCATCCCTGTCCCTTCATAAATTATTGAACTCCCCCTCAGAAGAACGGTAACAGTTTGGAGGTCGATTTTGATATAATGATGAAGAACTCAGTTTAAACAACCCATCCATAAATGTACATATGTATTTCACTCAGCCCAATTTGCCTGCTTGGTGGATTTTGCATGGAGGAAGAGAGGAAACTGATTAGCACGCAAGTGTGAAACAAGTTTTCAGATCTGCTCATTGTTGCCATTTTATATACCATATGATTTACTTGTGTTTATGTCCACATTAGGTCAAGAATCTATAGCTCATGCCTTTGAAAAAAGTATATTTTGTCTTTTTTTATTGCCAGGCACTTAATGCTCTACTAGCAGATGATAATAAGTTTGGTTTCATTGTAATGGATGGTAATGGTGCACTTTTTGGTGTCCTTTGTGGCAATACAAGGGAGGTTCTTCACAAGTTTACAGTGGATCTTCCAAAGAAGCATGGTTAGTAAAAGTCTATTTCAGAAACTCTGAAATCACCAGTTTCCCTCACTTTGACTGACCCATAGAAAAGGAAAAAATATCAACATTTGCTGGTGGTCTTTTACTTTGATGAAAGTGATAACAGTCTGTAGATTGAGTATTTTTTCTTGGTTTACAGGGCGTGGTGGACAGTCTGCTCTTCGTTTTGCTCGATTGAGAATGGAGAAACGTCACAACTATGTTAGGAAAGTAGCTGAGACTGCAGTACAGCTTTACATCTCCAATGACAGGGTGACTAATAAATACAAGTTTAGTAACACACATACCTCCAAATTTCTTTTTGAAAGTTTCTAAGAAATAGAATAGTACCATGCAAAAGTTCTGCCAAAGAAGTTTCATTTGAATGGTAACACTGCATAGGATTTTGTCCAGAGATTTAAGAATTAAAAAAATTATGTCAAATCGTCTCACCATAAGTCTATGTACAAGTGAAAGGGTTTAGGTGTAGCCATCCTCATCAGCAAAATGTTGAACAAACCTTGACTATCTGCATTGTATATAACTTATTGTATATTTTTGTGTTGTTGTTTTTCAGCCTAATGTTACTGGTTTAATCTTAGCTGGCTCTGCTGATTTCAAGAGTGAACTTAGCCAATCAGATATGTTTGACCAGGTCAGTTTAGAATATGTAATAAGTATGACAGATAGAATTTTTAACTTGCTGCTGTGTGTGTTTGTTAAACACACTGTTTGGCTTAACTTGCAGTCATTGGACCCCAAGTCCTTGGTCCTTGTTGTGTAAGCAAAAGGTAAACCAGAAAGGAATCTTTCTTAATGGGTTTAAGGTGATATATAGACTAAGTTTCTTGAGGTTGACATCTATGCAAATGCCTTGTCAGTTTTCTACTGCATCTCCCTAAAACCATTTGACAGCTGTTCCCCATTCACACTACAGTTCCAGTGTGTGTGGTTTTATGCTGTCTAGATTAACATGAGTCTTTTCACTCTCCACTGTTTTGCTACTTTTTAAGTGGTGTTCTTAGACAGCAGAGAATTTTGCGGGCTCAAACAGCTACATCAAACTCAGCCATTCTTTTTATTGGTGCAGGAGCAGGGCTAACTAATGTCACTCCTATGATGCTGAATGCCAAGCCCAACTAACATTGCTGAAGGTGTTTGTTCTTGTTAGTTCTTTTATGTTGCCCCTGTTAGTAATGGTCCAGTATGGTGAACTTTTATGTCTTTTTCATTCTTTGCTTGTTTCAGAGGCTACAATCAAAAGTACTGAAGCTTGTAGATGTGTCATACGGAGGTGAAAATGGCTTTAATCAGGTCAGCCTGTGTTGTAGTAATGTATGCAGCATCATAACTCTGTTACTAACCTTCTCGGTCTGTACTGTAAGTTTAAAACCTCTTTGGTTGATTTAAGGCCCAGTTATGCAAAGTGCATAAGCCATAACGCAATGGGAGAAAATAGCATTGAGTACTTACAGTACAGCCTGAAAAGGCAAGTTCTTTAAGATATTTTCTATCTTTGTGGTAAATCAGGCACGCTGAAAATTATACCTTCAAATTAAGAAGGCCTGAAAATTAGAATATAGCCTATAAAACTGGTGCACACATTGCTTGTACTAACAGAGTTATTTAATAATAGAAATTTACTATATAAACACCAATGAAATACCAGGTGAGCTTTTGTGCAAAAACTTGATTTCTTCACGTGTGAAAATATCACCGTTGCTGTGGCTACATAAAAATCGCAACTTTCACACCAAAAACGTTTTTGTTATATCATTGGTGTTTATATACATGTAATAAACAGAACATTACATGGTCGCTTGGAGATACGAGATTTCTCTTCTCATGTTGAGAAAAATGTTTCACTCATTCACTACGCTCACTCGTGAAGTATTTGTCAACACTCGAGAAATTTTGTATCTCTACGTGGCTATGTTATATCCTCTATATCATCATTGTCTTAGCTAGTTGCTTGTTTATGGCATTGACCTAATTGAAAGTCACTGCACACATTTTTCTGGCACAATGTTTCTTTTTGTTGTTGTTAAGTATTGTAATACCAACGTTTAATAGTTCAAAAAATAAGTTATTAGTGCTGAACATCTCGATCTGCAGACAATGTACATTTAATTTGATGTTACTTAATGGTTTTCTGTATTACAGGCAATTGAACTTGCTTCAGAGGTTCTTGCAAATGTCAAGTTTATTCAAGAAAAGAAACTTATAGGTGACAAATTCATGTCTCTTAATTTGTTTTATCTAACTATTCAGCATTCTTATGCTCTGAAAGAAGAGTGTAATTGGGCCATTGGAAATTGCTAAGTAAAAACCGAAATAACAATACTTTGCAACTTTTCACAGCTTGCGGTTTGGGCAGGCTGTTGCTAGCATTTTCTAGCCCATAAGTCATTTCAACTAGCACAAAAACCAATTTTTGATGAGCTGGTTTGATTACAGTTCTTTTGTAATTTTTATTCTCTGTAAAAACGTTGTTTGCCCATCGGGCAACTTAAGAACAGAACTCAGACCGATAGCAAAATTCACTAGCCCCAGGCTATTGGACAATACTTTCTTTGCATGCTACTTTGTAATTGTGTACAAGCAATGCACAGTATTTGCATTCTGTGGTTAACTTATAAAACGTTTACAATTGTAATAATTATATTTACAAGTGTAGCTATTGTTCTCAGACCCTGAAACAATGGCTACACTTGTGGATACACTTTTATTAAATTGATCTCTCTATGTTCTGTTTTGTCCAAAAATATTATTTAGAGTGGGTGTGGTCATGACTTGCATGCATTTGAAAGTGCAAAATTTGAAAATTGGCCTGATTTAAATTAAGGCAATTATGTTTTAAGCATAGTTGTACTTGTTGAAGTTGAACTGTCTTGTGGTGTTTCTTATTCCTTCTTATTTTTGCGTAGGGAGATACTTTGATGAAATCTCTCAAGATACTGGAAAATTCTGCTTTGGTGTGGAAGATACCTTGAAGGTTTGTTGAAATACCCTGATCTCTTTCTCATGTGTTTTACATACAGTAGTTTTGAATTTTTTAAATTTTTTCCAAGTGCATGTAGAAAAGCATTGTTTTTGTCAGTTTCCTCACTCAAAAGGAAATGTTTGTTAAGGGTATTTTGTGTTAGTGTTAAAGATTCAAGGATAAATATAAATCATTTGAGAAGTTCCAAGAGAATAAAGTGACCTGTTAATGCTATCTTTTGTTAAGTTAAAGAGTGCTAAATTTTACACTTCTTTTTGCAGACTGTAATGATTTGGAAATGACATGTTTTATTTTTAGGGATTAGAAATGGGAGCAGTGGACATACTTATTGTGTGGGAGAATCTTGAAATCAGTCGACTTGTTCTGAAAAATCACCAAACAGATGGTAAGTGAATGTTCAAAAACATTATCTTTGGTTGTATCTCACAGCAAGAGAGTGAGACATTCCCTTAGTTCATGTACATTGTCTACTGTCCTTTCCATCTCATTTCACAATGTCCCAACAGTTTAACCATAACCTATTCATCCCAGAGTTAAGCAGAAACACAATTCTCAACTAGTATAGGAGCAGTTGAAGTGTGAGTGTTTAAGTAGTAGCATCTAAAAGAGTGAACTTAACTTTTCTCCCCAGAGGAAAAGATCCTTCATCTTAATCCTGAACAAGAGAAAGACAAGACTTACTCTATTGACAGTGAGGTTTGTAATCAATAACTTATTGACGTTGTTTTACTTTTGAAGCCCATTTGTAGTTTCCGCTGACTGTTTTCTTTGCCTGTGTAGACTGGAGTTGAATTGGAGCTTGTTGAAAAGATGCCTCTTCTGGAGTGGCTTGCAAACAATTATAAAACATTTGGTAAGTGTTAAAATCTAGATAGCCAATCACCATTTGGTTGAGTCAATACAGATGATCAATTTAAGTGTCTGGGAAACTGCCCACCTACCCCTCCCTAAGCCAACAAGCAACAACGACGGCGACGGCTACAAAAACGTCACTTAAAAAGTGAATTCGCACCGCTTCAAACTTTATCGCGCTTATTCCATCTCGTTTACTTCGTCAAATGTTGGCAAATGTTTTTGGAGTTGAATTCTAAAGGACTGTATCAAAGTTCAGGAAAAGAAAAGAAAGTTGTTGTCTTGTGTTCCCGTCCTCGACAAAACGTGAATTCAGGCACTTTCACGTTGTAGTCGGGCAACGACGGCAAAGAAATGTACAAAAAAGCGTGATGCACGTGCAAAGTTGTTGTTTTGCTAATCAAACCTATTGCTTTTTTGCCGTTCTCGTTGCCGTCCGCGTCGTCGTTGCTTAAGCTCCCTAATGTTGGCTTAAGCGCTTCAACCGGTCAATGGATAGGTATTAGGAAAACGTTTGATCCACTGGGGCCTGGCCCAGGAAACACAGGAAATTGGATTTTGGAGAGTCTAATTTTAAAAATTTCCTGGGGGAAAATTTTGTTTTTTCCCCTGGACCTCCCTAGAAGTTCGTGCCTCCGGCATTCAAGGTTTGCGCCGGCGGCACGAACGTTGCAAGTCCGCCAGCTAAACCTCTGCATCGGGAACTTCCAAATGCTACTGAAAAACATGCTAGAACTCTTGGTCATGAGACTGAATTCTTATAAATGTCAACAATTATTACACTGTTTTTAGGTGCAACGCTTGAAATCATAACAGACAAATCCCAAGAAGGTGCACAGTTTTGCAAAGGTTTTGGAGGAGTAGGAGGTAACTAGGAATTCTCTTACCGTGTAAACAGTTTTTCAGTTTATAGCAATTTTGATCACGTCTTTGGAAGACCCTTGAAAGAGACTTCAACCATTTAAAGCAGTAGATATTAATCCCTGCTTGTACTGTGGGCCCATCACAACTATACGCTGTCCAATGCGCCGATAATTTGACACTGAAGCATGTTATTCAGCAATTAAAACGGCTTATATTTCCTTAAATACAGTGGAACCCCGTTAATACGGTCACCGATGGGAAAGAAAAAATTGGCTGTTTTAACGGGTCACCGTATTAACGATGGTGTTTTACAAGAAAATGTAGGGCCCTTTTCCCGGACGGCCCAAAAAAAGTGGCCCTAATAACGAGGTGACCGTAAAGTGGGGTTCCACTGTACTTTTCTTTTCTGAACAATCTTAATATAGAAATTTATGCCTACGGTGTCTCATTTCTGGGCTCAATTTCCAAGGATTACTCTGTAGGACCTGAATAAAGTCAACTATCTCTTATTTTATTTGGCCTTTCTGGCAAAAGTTCGTTTGCGTTCATTTCTTAGGAGAAGAGGAAATATGTCCCTCTCTGTACCCCTCTGTGCCAAAAAGCGCTGAAAATGTTTCGTTCAAGTAGTATAGGAGGGATGAAATTAACCTCTTTTTTGCGCAGGAATACATTAACTTCGCTGACGTCATAGGCTATTGTATTGATCTCATGAATAAAATGCGCAGGAATCTCATAAAGATAAGGTCATGTGTTATTTTTATTTTGTGGCGGTCATGGTTGGTATAACCGGTTTGACAGGTTTTAGTTATTTTCGGAAGATGATGTCATATGTATTCCGGGGTACTATGATGTCATAGTTGTTTTGATTGGTTGACCGGAATTTGAAAGACGGTCATTGGCTGTCTCGTTTGACGAAGCATTCTAAACTTCTCTGTGACTTAAAATCACGGAGGCGTAATGTAATTATGCAAGTCCTATTTCCTGCTGCTGTGATTGTCCTAGTTCCGGTTCACTGACTTTTGGCGGGCAAATCGTGCATAGTAATGAGGGCAAAGACAAACTAGCTCTTGTCCTATTTCCTGCTGCTGTGATTGTCCTTGTTCCGGTTCACTGATTTTTGGCGGGCAAATCGTGTATATTAAAGAGGGCAAAGGCAGACTAGCTCTTTTTTACACTGCAAGCAATGCTGTACTTATCCCTCTCCTTTTCATTTTTTATTTTCCTCCTCCTCCACAATTTTATTATTTTCCTTCCTCAATTTTTTTTATTCCCATTTTTCCCTCCTCCTCCTCCTCCTCCTCCTCATTTCTATTGTTTTCCCTCCACCACCGCCACATTTCTATTGTTTTCCCTCCACCACCACCACCACCGCCACCGCCACCGCCACATTTCTATTGTTTTCCCTCCACCACCACCACCGCCACCACATTTCTATTGTTTTCCCTCCACCACCACCACCACCACATTTCTATTGTTTTCCCTCCACCACCACCACCACCGCCACATTTCTATTGTTTTCCCTCCACCACCACCACCACCACATTTCTATTAGAGAACTTAAGCACGCGCGTTTTTGAGACGCGGACGGTAACCGGAAGTCACCTACTTTCACTTTTAACTTGTCCTCACACAACCATATTCACATTGCTAAGTATCTTTTCTTCATTAGAGATGAGTAATATAAAAATCTGGGAGACAATACGGTCCTAGCATGCGAAATCTTCTCTTCCGGTAGCCGTCCGCGTCTCAAAAACGCGCGTGCTTAAGCTCCCTATTGTTTTCCCTCCCCCACCACCACCACATTTCTATTGTTTTCCCTCCACCACCACCACCACCACATCTCCATTGTTTTCCCTCCTCCTCCTCCTCCTCCTCCTCCTCCTCCTCATTTTTATTGTTTTCCCTCCTCCTCCTCCTCCTCCTCCTCCTCTTCCTCCTCCACCTCCTCATTTTTATTGTTTTTCCTCGAAAAGGCCAAGAGGCTAAAATCAGACCATCACATCAGCAATAAAACAGTTCATTCACCAGCAGAGCACAACAATCATGTTTCATTGCTTTTTCGGAGCAACCTCTTTCTCGTAAACACGAACCACATTGCTGTTTTGTAGTTTAGCAAATTGAAGCCAATGTGTTGATCTGCTAATCGAACTAAAATGATTAAATTCGACCAATGATTTATTTACAAACTAATTTTCTTACACGACTTACACGCGAGATCTCCACGCGCGCCCAGAGGAAAAAACACAGGGCTAAAAAGGTGCCCTTTCTGCCCTTTCTGCTCGATCTGCCCTTGAAAATCAACAATAAATTTTGTGTTGCAAATAGTTTTACTCATTTGAAAGGTAAAAGGTTGTAAAGATTGTGAAAAAAAATAGATTTTGTAAATAATTTTCGTTTCCTCAAGTTTGTAAATAGCATTTTATATAAAAGAGTTTCCTAAATGTCTAAAAAATGTCATTTGTTCATAGTTTGTAAATAAATCATTGGTTGAATTTAATCATTTTAGTTCGATTAGCAGATCAACACATTGGCTTCAATTTGCTAAACTACAAAACAGCAATGTGGTTCGTGTTTACGAGAAAGAGGTTGCTCCGAAAAAGCAATGAAACATGATTGTTGTGCTCTGCTGGTGAATGAACTGTTTCATTGCTGATGTGATGGTCTGATTTTAGCCTCTTGGCCTTTTCGAGGAAAAACGATAAAAATGAGGAGGAGGAGGGAAAACAATGGAAATGTGGTGGTGGTGGTGGTGGTGGTGGAGGGAAAACAATAGAAATGTGGTGGTGGTGGTGGTGGAGGGAAAACAATGGAAATGTGGCGGTGGTGGTGGTGGAGGGAAAACAATAGAAATGTGGTGGTGGTGGTGGTGGAGGGAAAACAATAGAAATGTGGTGGCGGTGGTGGTGGTGGAGAGAAAACAATAGAAATGTGGCGGTGGCGGTGGTGGTGGTGGTGGTGGTGGAGGGAAAACAATAGAAATGAGGAGGAGGAGGAGGAGGGAAAAATGGGAATAAAAAAAATTGAGGAAGGAAAATAATAAAATTGTGGAGGAGGAGGAAAATAAAAAATGAAAAGGAGAGGGATAAGTACAGCATTGCTTGCAGTGTAAAAAAGAGCTAGTCTGCCTTTGCCCTCTTTAATATACACGATTTGCCCGCCAAAAATCAGTGAACCGGAACAAGGACAATCACAGCAGCAGGAAATAGGACAAGAGCTAGTTTGTCTTTGCCCTCATTACTATGCACGATTTGCCCGCCAAAAGTCAGTGAACCGGAACTAGGACAATCACAGCAGCAGGAAATAGGACTTGCATAATTACATTACGCCTCCGTGATTTTAAGTCACAGAGAAGTTTAGAATGCTTCGTCAAACGAGACAGCCAATGACCGTCTTTCAAATTCCGGTCAACCAATCAAAACAACTATGACATCATAGTACCCCGGAATACATATGACATCATCTTCCGAAAATAACTAAAACCTGTCAAACCGGTTATACCAACCATGACCGCCACAAAATAAAAATAACACATGACCTTATCTTTATGAGATTCCTGCGCATTTTATTCATGAGATCAATACAATAGCCTATGACGTCAGCGAAGTTAATGTATTCCTGCGCAAAAAAGAGGTTAATTTCATCCCTCCTATACTACTCGTTCATATACAAACACACGCTACACGCTTCATCTGTAAACATGTATCACTTAAAACTCGCTTACTAAGGTCTTCTCTTTCTTGTGCCTTTTTGCAGGTATTCTAAGGTATCGAGTAGACTTCCAGTCCATGGAACTTGACGAGTACGATAACGATTTTAACGACAGTGACGATGATGACTAGCCCAGCGGTTGCAGGTGACATTTCCCTGCTGCCTGCCTGTACATAGGAAACAGTCAAAGAAAGCTGTGTGGCCCTCGGAACGAATTGCTCTTCTTTTTTAACATCTCGATTTAACACCCACACTAACTGTAACTTCAGAATGCAATTTAAAAAGAACGATCGGGCGTGTTGTGTTCTTAATTCGCCCAGTTTACATGCAAGACTGTAGCGGCGCACCTCTTTTGCCAGGAGAGAACTGCGAAAGGTGAATTATGCATGCATTTCCCTTTTGGCTGTTTGCCTAAAGAGAAGACGTGATATGAATATGAAAATTGTTTCAAGGTGTGTTTGTTTTGTTTTCCTTTTTAATAAATATTATTGTCATGCGTTGTACCTCGGATATTCGGAACAACCCGAGCCAACATTATGTCGTTAATGTATCGATAGATTGATTGATTGATTAATCGATTGATTGCAAAAAAAGGACTGCCAATGAGGTGTTTCTTGTGTAAAAGATATAATTAAATAAAAACAAAGCTTTGAGGTCTGTAAGAACTATGAAATGCGATAATCAGTTGAATTTAGTTTGAACAGAATTATTAGAAAAGGTAGAAAAGTTATCGTGTAGCCGGCAAAAAATCCGGCACCCTTTTCACCCTTTCAAACAAGGGTGGGTGACTTTTCATTGTAATAATAGCCTTTTATGCTGTAGTCTGTTGTGAGAATAAAAGTCGTCTGAGAATAATTTGTTAGTGTCCCTGATGGATTTGTTAGCAGTCTGGGCCATAAGTGTGCTCAAGTAGACTTGATTCACGAGGCCCGTCATCTTTGCATGCGCTTAAAGGACTGATGGGATAAAAGCGATGTCACGTGGTTTCTTAGGGTGCAAACCTTTTTCCGATACAAGAAATCGCTGTCGAGTTTCTTTATTATCGACAACAGAAAATGAACAACTTTTTATCCCGGGGGGTGCTTCCTTGTAAGAGGCTAATGGGGATGTGCCACTGGATGGGATCGCATACAGAAACTCTAGCTAACAAACTTGAAGCTGCCAATCGTTATGCATTAAAAAGACTCTATTGATACTGGTAACGACTTAGATTACAATTCGTTTTATAACTAAGCGCGCGTGCTTGCCCTATATAAGTCCTACTGAGCCGCTATGAACAAAATCTTTATGCGTAAATAAAGATTTTGTTCATGATGACGTGTTCAGCTGTGTTTTTCGTCTCTTTTCCTAAGTACCAAAAAATCGACGGCAATGATAAAAAACTTTCTGAACCTTTTTTGGAATTTAGCGTCGTTCTAGCCACTCAAACCAAGAGCAAAAGCGGTGAGGATCTTTCGCACATAATAGAGCCTGAATGATTCGTTGAAAAGTTTGCCGTAAAGACAGACATTTAAGTGGAAAAACGCCACAAATTGGCCTGTCGGAAAATATCCAATTTGTATAAAGTGTCCTCCGTTTTTGACGTTTGTTGTATATCCTACAAAACAAGTTTATAATTATAAAGTAAGCTCAACAGCGGAAAATTATGCTCCTTCGTTATCGCCGAACAATTCGACTGAAGCAGGAAAATTTCTCTTGCAATAACAAGACAAATTTATTACTCGCAAAAACAACTGCTGCCAGGTCTTCTCAAGAAGCCGTAATGACCAGCCATTGTTCGTAAATGAATATAAGGTTAAAGTAGCGTGACAGTCGTCTTCGCCAAAAAACAAGTTTTCTGGATTTCGCCGAGCAAAACATCCAATTCACTGTCACGCAATAAACACGGCGCAAACAAAAATTGGAAACCGTCCAATGGAAGAAGCCAAGAAAATGAAATGTTATAAAAGACTAATATACTAGGGTATCTAAAAGATATTTTAGTAGGGACTTAAAGATCCAACGACGCGACGGCGACAAGAACGTCGCTTAAAAAGTGAATTTGCGTTCTTTCAGTCTTTATAGCGATTATTCCTACCCACTAACTTTGTAGGCGAACGCTCCTGAAGCTGAATTTCAAGGGACCATAGCCAAGCTCAAAAAGAGAAATAAAATTTCGTCGTTGCTTGGTTACATCCTCCATAAAACGCGAAATTAGGCATTTTCACGTCGCAGTTGTGCAAAAACGGGAAATAAATGTACAAAAAAGTGTGATGCACGTGCGAAATTGTGGTTTTGCTAATTAAACCTATTGTGTTTGTGACGTTCTCGTTGTCGTCCGCGTCGTTGGATCTTTAGGTGGCTCGATACAGTTTTTCAGGGTCAATACCTCCCAAGTTTGAGCATAAATTACGTCGCTATAAACAAAGTTTTGGAAAAATTGCCACCGCAGTTGTATTAGATAAAGATGAAAATTTGTTATGAACAGGGTTGCAACGGCATCGGAGTTGTCATAGTAACGAAATGACGCTATTAGCTATTTTACTTGCAGCAGTATATCTCGGCTCTGGGAACTGTTCTTCCAAAATCGTTCACAGGAGCTTTTTCCTCCAATAGCGGCCTCGATGTTCGTGAAGTTTAAGCGAAATCTGTAAGAGCGTTATCGAGATATTTTGGGATGAAGTTTTTATGGCTAGAAACACAGTAAAAAATGGACAATATTGTTGTTTGGCGGTTATCTGTAAAAAACGAAGAGCTTTTAACATGCAATTTCACCGCATAGTAGTTCCAATCTTTTTAAAAACGTGTGTGAAAGATCATTTAGATAGCTCCAACCGATTGCAAGAAAGAAGGGTTGGATTAGTATGTATCGAAGCACTCTTGTTAGCGGTTTTGTAAACAAAATAATAGCGAATAATTTTTAAACCGTTCGATAGATTTTTTTACAAATTTAAGATTCTTGAGATTAACCTTCCTTTTATATGACCTTTTAGTTTCAAGATTATTGATACATTGTAAGGCAGTAAAATAACGGCTAGAATTCGCTACTTTTTTATCGGAAGTTTCGTCATTACAAGAGATAGTCTCTCATTATTCAAGGCATTGTCTCCAAGTTTCATTTTCACGTGAACAGCAGTAACTAACAATGCATTTGACATATGCAAAAATGCTAGCTATTGTTGTGCACGAAAATATGAAACTTGGAGACAATACCCCGAATAATGAGAGGCTCACACTTGTAAACACAGAATTTAAGCCAAAATATGTGCGAATTGTAGCCCTTACTTTACTGCCTTACAATAAATCAATAATCTTGAAACTAAAAGGTCATATAAGAGGAAGGTTAATCTTAAGAATCTTAAATTTTAAAAAAAATCTATCAAGCGGTTTAAAAACTATTTGCTAGTTTGTTAAAGTAGACCAAAATATTCAAAAACCGCGAAAAAGAGCGCCTGGATACATACTATTCAAATCTTTCTTTCTAGCAATCGGCTGGAGCTATCTCCATGATCTTTCACACACGTTTTTGAAAAGATTGAAACTACTATGAGGTGAAAGTGCATGTCAAAAGCGCCTCGTTTTCTACAGATAACAGCTGAACATAGAGATTGTCCATCTTTTACCGTATTTCTAACCACAAAATCTTTATCCCAAAATATCTCGATAACTCTCTTACAGATTTCGCTTAAACTTCACAAACATCGAGGCGGCTATTGGAGGAAAAAGCTTCGGGGAATGATTTTGGAAGAACAGTTCCCAGTGCCGATATATACTGCTGTAAGTAAAATAGGCAATAGCGTCATTTCGTTGCTATGACAACTCCGATGTCATTGCAACCCTGATCACAACAAATTTTCATCTTTATCTAGTACAACTGCGGTGGCAATTTTTTCAAAACTTTGTTTATGGCGACGTAGTTTATGCTCAAACTTGGGAGGTATTGGCCCTGGAAAACTGTATCGAGCCACCTGAAAGTCCCTAGTAATGCTGCGGCACACTCTATTGATACTGGCATTAGTTAGGCCGTGAGACTTAAAAGAATCGAAAATGACATTAAATGTCCTATTTACATGTTGGAAAGTAATAATTACCATCAGTCTATAGAAGGAACTCGTTGGAACGTTGTTTAGAAAATGATCATAACGACAAGTGGTTATCAACTCTGGTTTTCCCACGGTAAACTGCAGGAAATGATACAAATTCAGAAAGGGGCTGTGTCTCGGAGGTCCAGTTCATTTTGTTTAATTTTGCCAATTACTCGCCCTCAATCGCTATGGAACTTAAAATAAGCAAACAAATTACATATAAATGACAAAATCAGAGATCCGAGACAAACAAATTAGCCTGAATTTCATCCGATTACTTAGAGTCGTTATTACTCCCTCAGTAAGAGGAGAAAACGACTCGAAGCAATCGGATGAATTTCAGGCTAACAAACAAATATGTCTCCTGAGCATTATGTTTAAAGTTGCAAGCAGCAGGGATCAACTTTGAAAAACTGTTAGGCTGAACAGTTTTCAAAAACCCTAATTTCAATCCGTTTCAATCTTCTTCCGTTTTGCCCACCCGTGACATCTGTTGTGTCTGTTATGTTATTTTAACCTTTCTTTAAAGTTCTAAGCGGTTAATTTTATGTTTCCTTTTCTTCCTTCCCTCCCATTCTAGCACTCAAATTCTGACCCTGATATTCTAGTAGTAAGCAATCGTTCCTGAGCCGATAGGCACAAGGATACCGGTTTCTTGCAAAACATGCTGTAACATCCATTTGCTTATCCCCTTTTCTGCTTTCGGCTGCTGATTGGGTATGGTGTTGTACTTTGAAATAACTTTAGGAACGAAACATCATACGTGAGGCGCGTGTCCGGCCAAGGGCAAGTTACCCTCGGTGGTGAAGACATATACTGAACTTGTCAGTATTTCGTAGCCTGTACCACGTCGCGAAAACAAAACAAGCCAAAGAAAAATAAGACGCGTTTCTTTCCCCAGCCCTCGCAGGTTTTGCGCATTACTTTGTACTGCACAAGTGCCTTACTATCTTAGCTTGGATTCTACCTTTTCGAGCCGGAGCGAACATGGACGCCCTTGAGGTGAAATGTCCACTTCATTTTCGGCACCCGACTTAACGCAAGCGCTGACTTATGCGCCTATGCTTCGTTTGTACTGAAGTAGCGGTATATGACCACGACAGACTTGCTGCTATCCTCGGTTTGAAACCGCAATGGGCACGAACAATTTCTTGAAAAGAGCAAACTGTTTCCTCTTTAGCAGACATGGAGAACAACTAGTAGGACTTAACCAATGCTTTCTCTTTTTAGACTCTTTTTAATGATTTACGGCTAAACAGTACAATTTGATGTAGATTTTACGCAAAATTAAATACTTAGTTGTTTGCAGAATTGCATTTAACAACAAATTATAGAAATTAAACTAAGTTTGGATCTCCTAGATAAGAATTGAACGGAAAAAACTTTTGGGGGGAAAAAAGTCAAAATGTTTACTGGCAAATCACTCAATGGACATACAATAGCAGAGATATCATGCCCGCAATTTTCTATGCAATGTACCATATAAAAAGTCTTACTAGTCCTTTAGTAGCCCATGCCTTAAAACCGCCTTAAACCTTAAAATTTAATTCATTTGCCTTTCATGTGTAGTGCAAATTTCTGGACACTCCGGGGGTGGGGGTAAAATCAGAAGAACAGAACATTCAGTTATTGTACCATTTTTGAGCTATTTTGAAAAAATAGCTCATATGTCAGTGGTGTGAGCGTATGTATCTTTGTGGCTTTGTATGTTGGGATGTTTGTTGCCAGAGCGAATAAGGTTGAAGGTACTATGAGTTGATGCTTAGGAACCAATGAGATGTTGG